AAAAAACTCTATCTTACGTTAGCAACAATTGGAATAAGATAATTATGAATTTGTTAATATAGTTGACGATTTGTATCTTAATACTCTGATCGTTTCTCTATGTTTGTAATAAATTTTGTTCACCATTTGCCTTTTTTTTTTGTTAATTTTTCCTACAAATAATTATCATCATATTTCTTATTCTCTTTTATTTAACTTTTACTTAAAAAAGAAAAGATATTTAAGCGATACAATAAAGAATAAATTTTAGAAAGAAGATATGGCTGACTAATTTCRAAGAATTGGTTCTATGATATCTCTTCCGTGAACCTGATCCGCCTATATAAACGAAACACTCTCCCATTATTASAGTTAGTTTTACATTACTAAAAAGATTCGAAATCAATAATTCTAGAAAAAATAACAAGCAAAATAAATTCTAGAGTAACAGTAGAGTCAACTCTAAAAATCACTACCATAGCCAGTTAGCTCAAGTTCAAGTTGAATAAGTCACTGCAATTAATCTTACAATTAGTGAAATGGCCACTCAWAGTTAGTCAGCCTAATCAGCCCCAAAATCGAACGAACGGATCGACGTATCCTGTTTTCCACAATGTTAATCTATTGGCAAATTTCCAATTTGTAAAATATCACAGATCGATAATCTGTAACCGTGAGTATAAAAACTCATTAATCAGTTAACTATTTTTGACGAGTATATTTGTCATGAAAAAAGAGCAAAATTTTCTATTATCACGAGTATATTCGTCATGAGTAATAAGTAGTGACAATTTGCAGTTTAAATTTCAATTTTAGTGAAAAYTAAAATATATGGGATTCGAGGAAAATTCATAAGTAAAAGTGTTAACAAATATAAAGGCAAGAAACGTTTATTATATGAATGTTCGAGAACGATCATTATTGAATATATACGTTAATGTTTTCAGAATAAGTAAAGGACTTCTTATTGTAGTTAAGTTTAAAATAGATATTTCTAGAATAAGGCAAAGATGTTTTTCTTATTAGTTTACAGAGCTATTTCTAGAATAAGTAAAGATGTTTTTCTGATAGGTAGAGCTATAAGAAATGTTGTCTCCTGTTGTTATGGTATAAAGAAATGAGAGAGTATGTGTTGCGTACGTGATCTTAAACACATTGATCATGAAATCCGTTGTTACCTTATGATAGTAAGAAGTGGGAATTTCAAACACAAAAGGGTAGTTTAAGGTGAAATACGCMAGAAAGAAAAGACAATAAGCAATAGGGAGAGGGGGAGGATATCATCTATATATGCGTAACGAAAGGACGATGCAATAGGTTAAGAAGATATGTTATGTTAAAAAAATATGTAAAGAAGTTATATTTAGAGGTTATGTTAAGAAGCTACGTTATAAAGTAGATTGAAGCTAACAATAAGAGCATTTTGTAAAGTATGACAGTAATTTAGTAGTTAAGAAGCAAAACGATTGAGAGTTATAGATTTAATAGATTATAGACAYTATTCTATCCAATCATATCTTTAATTAAATATATATAAGTAGACTTGTTCATATATTTACTGTCATCTTTCCTTTAATTTGTAAGGAAAATTAATAAAAAAAAACAATTATTAAATAAACTATTAAAAATTAAAAAATTCTACATGTATATTCGCGTACTTCAAGATATTTGAAATATTTGGAAGCCCGTCGAAATAAAAGGAACAAATATAATCAAAATTTATAAATAATTAATATTATCCTTTCGACACTTCCACGTTGTATAAATTAATCTTTAATCAACAAGTACCGTGTTCTACGAGGGTTACCTGTACTTTAATTTGTTGTAACTCTACTTTATAAATTTTATAAAGTAAAGTTACTTCTCTATTTGATAAATCACCARTGAAACTAGTGAGCTGTTAGAAAATGTTAATACTAACAGAGACAAAAAAGTAGACGATAGGTATAAAAAGATTGACTATCCCTGCTATTATTAACTGTTTACTCTGACGTTTGTCTATTTAAGACTCTCTATTTTCTTCTCTTTTAATACTTCCTTAATCTCATTCATACTCTTAATATATTTGCAGGATTCCCTCTTTCTAGTCAGTCTTTCAAAAGGATATCTAACGAATAAAAGATAGGAATTCCAATAATTTTRAAAGTTTCTTGGAGGAAGAAACCTTTATTCACAGAAATACAACATATTCTAATAAATGAAGTACAAAAATGATAATAATATAGTAAGCTGTGTTCTCTTTGTCTCGCATTCTTTCTTTCTTCTTTTGACTTCTTCTCTCGCTATTTGACTATTTACATTATTTGACCTTTCTTACATCCAATACTATCACACTCTCTGTCTCACATATACTTAGAAGCTTTCTCACTTGGCCCCTCATACACCACATATATGTTACAGGTATTACTACAAGCTTATAATATTGCTTGGGTATTGAATAGGATTGTTCTTTGTGAGAAGGACATTATTTTATGAGTTTACTTTAAATAAAAAATAGTTTGAACGTTTGTCATATACTTGTGCATTTTACTTAGCTTGCAACCATCGAAACTAAAAGCATCAGTAGCGTGCTCGCTTCTCGTGCTGCTAGTTATTGGTTCGATCCTTCATCTTGGAAGTTTTTTTAATAATTTTTTTCTATTTGCTTTTTAATTGTTTTTTCATAATTCTTAATTTTTAAATATATACAGGAAAGAGAATATTATTTATTACAAAAAAATTAGGAATTATTAATTTTTTAACATCTTGCGCAAATTATAAAGGAAAATTGATTTTACTTGAATTACAGTTAATATTTTTTTTTTAACAGATATATGAAAAGGTATCTTCAATATACTAACAAATAACAATCGTATATATTCTAATTATTAACTATTTCCTGTATAATATGCCTGTTAAAAAATAAAATGGTAACTGTTATTCAAGGATTAAAGTTTCGTTTATTATTTGCGCAAGATATTAAAAAATTTATTATTTCTAATTTTTTTGCAATAAATAATTTTCTCTTTCCTGTATATATTTAGAAATTACGAATTATGAAAAAACAATTTAAAAACAAATAGAAAAAAATTATTAAAAAAAAGTTCCCCGATGAAGGATCCGAACCAATAACTAGCAGCACGAGAAGCGAGCACGCTATTATTTACGCTAGCGCACTACTTGATAAACAATCGCATTTAAGACAATATAAACATGTATACAAAAAATTCAAAATTTTAAAAACATTTTTCTTAAAATTAGCTTCGCATTTTGATCAAATACTTTACCACGTTAATACCCTAAAAGTATGCTACTAATATACCAAAGCTCGTTAAAATCCGTGAGGGCACAACCGTAAGGTCTCCTTGTAAATGCGATAGAACAATGAATTAAAATATGAATAAACGATAACAAAGAAATACTATTAACTTTAGTTGGACGGACGATATACAAGAAAACTAATTAACGAATATCAATAATACGTAGATCGGTATCAATACCGTAGGCAACAGCTGCCTACGAGTTCGCATAAGAAACATCCTATTGTCCCTTTTTCTTTCTTTTCTTCTTATTTTTTTCTTTTTTATTTGTTTAGTTTTCTCCGAAACTAGCAAGAACTAGAAAAAAATGAGCTTCATTTTTTCTTCTCACGCACACTAAACTGATATCGTTCATGTAACAGAAGTATAATTTATCATCTTATATTTGAATCTAAAATTACCCTGTATTAAAATATTTAATTTTATTAATTTAACAATTAATGTATATTACGATTTTTTAAATATTTAAACAAATTTACTAATGTTTAAATATTAATTCATTATATCCAAAGTTAATATCTATTCCGTTAAGAGTCTATTAAAATCTCTTAGGTAATGTGAAAAACCTTTAAGATAGTGTCATAAAAGTTTTTCAGTAAGAATCTTAAAGTAATCTTAAAAAAATGTATCTTTCAATATTATTAAATATATTTCTTACTAGATAACTAAACTTATTGAGAAAAGAACTAGTTCTTTTATTTGTGAGTGACGCGATTACAGCGCCACGTTTTCACTTCATGGAAACGTGACAGCTCGAATTGATTAAAACGCATCCTAGTGTTACTAGTAAAAAGCTTTAATAACGAATTTCTATACATATATAGGCTCCGTGGCTTTAATAATCAGTCTTATATGGAGTATTTCTTGGAAAAATCGTAGGTCAACTTTTGTTTACAAAAGAAGTTGATAAATGAATCGGAATAATACGAACTTTAAACGCAGCAGATACATAGAATATTAAGAAAAAACATTTAATCGTATTCGCAATAGTATTTTACTTGTGATATAAGTATAAATGATCAAAGCTTTGTAAAAAATTGACAAGCAATGTGACCAGCTGATAGTTAGCGCGCGCGTGTGTGTGTGCGGGCGTACGTGCGTGCGTGCATGCATCGTGTGTGTGATTATTCTATAATACATATATATTACAACATCATCATGGTTTGTGCATAACCTAACCTTACAAGGTGAGCTTGATGCAAGCAATAACGTATCAGTATTTTTATTTTAAAATAGAAAATAAATTCGTACAAACGATGAGAGATGCGCACCAAGGGACTGTTATTATTGCTAATCTGCATAGCAGGAAGCAGCATCGTTTTTATCGCTTTAAGCAATCAACGACCTTCCATACAAACACTTGTCACAGAAACTCACAAACAATTACGAAATTTTCAGGTATACCCTGGTTATTTATTTATTGTTAATCTTAAATCTATAAGAATATATTTGCTTTTTTGGTTAGAATATTATAATAATGAGGTATTAAAATTACAGGAAAACTTAAAAGATGTTGAGGAAAAACGATTAGTGACAGATTCCAAGTATTTAGCTTTGCTTGGTCTTGATGGGCAAACTAGTACAACGCCTCTAAGTCTGAAGCCTCAGAATGTGACAGTAGTGACACTTATAAGGCCAGGAAGCGAACAACATGCCTACGGCTTTGTTAGAAATGTCAGTCACTTCTTGCCAAATAATAGTATTGTACTTTATAGCGTTGGTTTGAACGAAGAGTCTTTCCAAAGTATCAAGACTACTTGTAATTCTACGAAGTGTAATGTCATTCACTTTGACTTGACTCCATTTCCAGCTCATGTAGAAGATGATAGACTACACGTTTACAGACCTCTAGTTATACAAGTAATTGATTATTTATACATACATACATATAACGAGTCACAGGAGTATTTACACCCTAGTAATTACCAACTTTCAACTATTAATATCCATTTAGAATATAAGTTTTGAAATTTTTACAGCGATTAGATTTAATATTCGGACATCATGGCTTTTTAAATATGATTTCTTATACATTTACTTAGAATTAAGTTAATGAATTCTCTCTTGTTTTTTTTTTTACCAAATAGTACACTGTCTAATTGTCAGAAACATAGATTTTGTCCACTTCTGCGGTTAAAATATAACCATTTCAGATACGTCACCATATTTCGTAGTTGGTCTTAGATTTTGAAGTTCTAATTCTTCGTTTACTTTACGTCATGCTATTTTGCACATCCATCACTTTTAAAAATATTAAATTTGTTTTTAATTACAAATATTACATCGTACCACCATGTCTCTTATTTAAAAACATATTCCTTAGCAAAAAATAATTCTTTTCGCTTATAGAAGGCTTCTTACTAGTATTTATTTATTTATTTTTTTATTTTTATTATTATTTATTTATTTTCTTTCTAGTTTTTTCAAATAACAGTGAGTTTAATATTGGAACACTCAATCCAGGATTTTATTTGATTTTTTTGATAATCTTATGTTTATCGCAGATAATAAAGAATTTTGAATGTTCTTTCTGCGGAATACATTTTATTCTATCTTCATGAGTATATCGTCTTATAATATCTACTACTATACTTTTACTTATATTTAGTAAATTATCAATTCTTTTGAATAATTTGTCTCTTTTCTTTATGGAAAATAACAAGTTAGTGTATATTAAACAAAATATTTTTACCTTTTGTCCTAGTTTTGCTAATAATATATAAAATATCTGTGAACTTTCAATCTAAATTGATTCATGTTCCTGTATTGTATGCTTTAAAAGCTATGTTCGCAAATGAAACTTTTGAGCAATCTAACTAATTTCTTAAAGTGAACAAACTGCAAAAGATAAAGTATATCTAAATACTTTTGCGACAATAAAAATAAGCGTTATTTTATTTATGTTATGCACTATATAGATAATTATATTAATTAAATAAATAAAATCTATGTTTCTGAAAATTAAAAAAGTGTACTACTTGGTAAAATAAAAACAAGAATTCCTTAACTCATCTCTAAGTAAATGTACAGGGTAATTAGATTTAAAAAGTCATGATGTCTAAATATTTCATCGTGTCACTATATAAACAGGAATGAATGTTGGGGTTATTAAGCTGTTGAATTAATATAAACTTTATTACAAAAAAATACTTCCATATGACAAAAATATAATTTAATGTAAACAGTAACAAAATTGGCATCACAAGAGTATTCATATTTAGAGAAATTATATTAAAAATACAAATAATAATTCAATAATTAATATTTTATTGATCCTCCTTTTGGTCTTATAATGCTTTTGAGACCTTTGGGCATATTATAGACTAATCCTTTTGTACATTCTGATTCAATATTGCTTCAAATATCAATAAGTTTTTGTTTTAATATTCCTTTATTTGTAATTTTAAAATTTCTTAATCTTTTTTTTTTCATTTTTGCCCACATGTGCTCTATGGGATTTATATCCAGATTTTGAAATAGAATTGCTAAGATACGTAGTGAGTTATATAGGTTCTATTGCTTTATAATTTTAGCTGTGTACGTCGGGGCGTTATCATGTTAAAAATAGTAATTGTTTTCCAATTGTACTAAAAATGACAAATGATTTTGTAAAATATTTAAATAATGAGTCTTGTCCATATATAGTAGGCATACTATAACGGAACCTCCTCAGTATTTGACTCTTCCTTTCAAATTTTTAAATTCACCTTCGATGTTTGGCTATTGTGGTTCGTTCATCTGAGTTAAACTTACTTTTATTTGAAAATTTTACTCATTCCTAAAAAATAATATCCTTGTTAATATATTGCTTCGCAAATTCTAATTGCTTCTTCCTATTTTTCTTATTAGAAAATGGTTTTTTTTTAGTTACTCTCATTGAAACCTTCTTCCCTTAAAATTCTTCTATAGGTTTCCATAGACACTTATTTATTTAAGCATTTTAAATCAAATGCAGCCAACTTTGAACCACTTGTTATTGAATTCTTTTTTATTTCTTTGAAATCTGCTTTCTCTTCTCAAATAGTTAGCTTTCTTGAACCTCCTTTGCATTATTTGTTGATTATATTTCCAGTTGAATTGATATTTTTTATTACACTTTGTACCATTGACTTACTCCTATCTACTAATTTTGTAATTTGCAGATAACTTATACCTTCAATATGCCATTTATGAATTAATTTTCTTTTATTTAGTGGAACGTCACTACCTTTTCGTCTCATGTTGACAAGTAACTGATTATGGCAATGCGATAATGTGCACTAATGTAAGGTGACCAACGTTGGACAAGATTTCAACTCAAAAGACGGATTAAATTTGTAAATATTTTGATTTTATACATGTGAAGAATTCCTATGGTATGAATACTCCTGTGATACCAATTTTGTTACTATTTACATAAAATTATGTTTATGTCATATGGAAATGTTCTTTTGTAATGGAGTTTATATGAGTTTGAAAGCTTAGTAATACCAACATTCATTTCCATTCATAAGAAATTAAAAACTTGCATTCTAAACAAATATCATTTGTTTAAAGTTGACTATCACTGAAGAGGTACGAATACTCATGTGACTCACTGTATATTTTTTTCTATTATTAGATTAACGAGTGCTCTCAATTATGTTTCATATTACAGACAGCTCTAAATGCATTAGGTAGTATTCTATTCATGGATTCAAATGTTCGGTTAAATTCGTCCGACGTTTCAAAATATCTCTTTCCAAAATCAGGAGTATTGACCTGGCCTACGAGGCATGCCATTAGTTCTTTAACTCATCCAAAGATGTATGAGTATTTCCACGCATCAGCAGAAAGTTTCTTTTTTCTTCCTCTTATAAGAGCATCGCACATAGTAATTAGAAACACAAAAGATATTAGAGAAAAGGTAATGCTACCATGGGTTCAATGTGCGCTAACAAGAGATTGTATTTGTCCTATAGGTTTGTAATTATAACATATACTCTGTTAATGTTATATTATTAATATTATTATTATCACTAATAATTTTAGATAATGACAATGAATTTTTTAGGCGCCCAATCTGCAGGTTGTCGATTTAATAAAAGACCACAGTATCGTTATTCCGGCTGCCATGCATATGATACCTCTGCGCTTAATATCGTTCTTGGATTACATTTCAATTTCGATGATACTTCTTACACGCATCAGGAACGGGAAACTTATTTCAACAAGATACAATCCGAGGAGATAATGGAAGAATATGCTATTATTGCAAAGCAGAACAATGTTACGGAATCTAACTCTAAAAGCTTTGTGTCAACTGACCGTTGATATTTCGGCGCGATCTCAGTTTACTTTAGATTAATAATATTTATATTATTCGCTGATCAAGCACAACTTTATTTAAGAATATATAAGACAAAATTTGTTGTTTTAAACAAAGTACAGACTTTTTCATCAATTTTGTGAGTAACAAGTATCATATAATTGGAATGGCTTCTTCTCTCTCTCTCTCTCTCTCTCTCTCTCTTTCTCTTTCTCTTTCTCTTTCTCTTTTTCTCTCTTTCTATGTCGCCTTTTTTGAATAGCATTACCGTAAAATCAAATATCCAAATAATTTACATAGAAAACATTTAAAATAATTATTTAAACATGAAGACACATCAATATCACACACATAAAACAATATATTAAATAATATATCAGTCTATAATATTATATTGCTATGAAAATGTAGAAAAGGCTGTTGAAGAAGACAAGTCGTTCGCCTTCAGTATTAATTCTCTTTACAGAATTAATGAAAACGACTGTACAGTACTTAATTAATTATTAATGTATTGGCACGCGATGATCTGTGAAGTTAATCTATAATAAATGCTAAATAATCATTCATGTTGATTAATGTAGGAAAAGTTCTTTTCTTTAACGAAGTATAAATGCACAATATTAATTTATTATAATTTAATTTAATTTAGAAAAGAAAGTAGCAAAAAATTATTCAATTTATAAATGGAGAAATGATACTTACTTTATAACGGCTACCAAAAGAAGAATTAAAATCGATGATATAGAGACGTATTGTACAACACTGTCAAAAAAAAGAGTACAATATTTTAATAGCTTATAATACTTATTCGGAGAAGTAAAAAATGATTAATTAACATGAGTTTTAAAGTTAATTCTTTCGAAGTAAATTGATTTTTATTATTTATGAGCAGTCGATATCGTAAACGAGTATTTTAGCCATATTAAATGTAACTAAAGGAATTTTCTTAGAAATACATTAGTTCAAGATTATTAAAATAAGTTTATTTTGAAAATAAAAAAAAACTATTACTACTTATATTATTAATATCAATAAAATTTGCTTAGTAAATGCAAAAATAATAGGTACAAATCATAGATATTAAATATGTCTTCTTCAAATTTGAATACAATTTTAGTACCTACGAACATAAATTGGCATACATTTTCAAATAATTCTTGAACTAATGTATTTCTAAGAAAATTTCTATGTGTACATTCAATATGTTGCCAAAAAACTCGGTTACGACATCGAACGCTTATAAATAATAAAAGTTTATTTACATCAAAAAGGTGTATTTTAGAACTCATGTTAATTTGACATTTTATACTTCTCTTGATAAATACTATAAGCCCTTAATGTATCAGATACTTTTTTTTACAACAGTATATATATACAGTGAATTACAGGAAAATTGAGTACCGTTACTGTCAATTTAAAACAATCAATATTTTCTTATAATGCAATATATTCAAATCTTTATACTGAAAAATATATTTTAGAATTATTCAATTTTTACATTTTATTGCAAAAGATCATTATATTATAAGATAAGTGAAATTTAACACATAACTGATAAGAAAATTGATCTTATACGAATATTTCCAACTACGTAAGATAAAATAAATATATAATTATTATATAATTGACCCTCCTTTGCTTCTTAGAATATTTTTAAGACAATTGGGCATATTTTGTGAGAGCAATTTTATTATCATTTAGGTTTATTAAACTTGTTAATTGATATCAATTTAAGTGTATTGTAAAAGAAGCAAAATTTGACATAACTGATAGGAAAATTAATTTCACAAGATATGCCCAATAGTTTTAGAAACATTATAAGATGCAAAGCAAAGTTAACGATATAATAATTGCATTTTTATTTTATCTTACGTTGTTGAAAATATTCTTGTGAGACCAATTTGGTTATCATTGAAGTAAAATTATATTTATTAAACAATAAAATGTTTTTTCTGCAATCAAATTTATATCAATTTGAAAGTTTAATAATTCTAAAATATATTTCTGTATAGAAGAATTTGGAAACTTTGAATTACAAGCAAATATTAATTATTTAAAATTTATAGTAGAAACGGGTACTAATACTTCTATGATTCACTGTATATGTTTGTAACATGTATGTAGATGTGATACAAAAATTCATTGAACGTGATACGATACGATGCAATAATTCTATAATATTAAAGCATACAAGCTATTGTACCATCTCTATCTCTCTCTACTTATTTATATCCAAACAGTATAAATATGTAGTCAATGTTTTTGACTATAAAATATTACTATTATCTTTCTTTTTTCAAATTTCAAGCGAACGTACAATGAGTCCTAAGAATATTCGTACACCTCTACTTTATTCCTAGTTTAAAGTAATCAATATTTTCTTGTAATATAATATTTCCAATTTTTTATACACAGAAACATATTTTACAATTACTAAACATTGAAATTAATATAAATTTTATTCGAAAAGAGTATGTTATTGTAAGAAAAATTTACTTTTATTTAAATGATAACAAAATTGGTTTCACAAAATATGCCCAATCGTTTTAGAAATATTTTAAAATGTAAAAAAGGATCAATTATATAATGATCATATTTTTATTTGATTTTACGTAATTGGAAATATTCTGGTAAAACCAATTTTGTTATGATTTAAGTTAAATTATATTTCTTTAAGAATAAAATGTTTCTTTGTGCAAACAATTTGAAAGTTTAATAATCCTAAAATATGTTTTCTTGTAGAAAAATTTTGAAGTTTTACATTACAAGCAAATATAAATTATTAAACATTTATAGTAGAGGCGAATACGAGTACTACTGTTACTCATTATATATCATAGAAATATGAACATTTTGCCGAAAGTAATTTGTTTACTTTGACGAGACAAGTGCGATCGATTAATCGTATATAATATTATTAAAAATCGATAACTGTTAAAATAAATGGAATGGCAACGTCGAACATCGAGTATACGATGGATAAATATTTGTACGCGAGCATCTTCGAATTTCTTAAAATTTCTCTTAACTCAATGAAAATCAATCTATCGATTACCGATAATTCTTGACAAATGTTAGAAAATAGAGGATAAAAAGTTAATCAAAGTATAGAATGACAGATGATAACGTAAACTTTTCGTTTAATTGGAAAAATAAAAATAACTGCATTCGGATGTATAATAAAAATCATGACAAAGTATACAATAACGCGACAACATTAAATACAAAATATTCTAGTGATTTCAGTCAAAGTGATCCTACCGAAAATCCATCAATCGTGGATTTAGGTGGACAATTTCATGAAAAACTAAAAAGCTCATCTTCCGGGTCAGAGTTTCGTTTCATTAATCCAGCTATTTATGTTGAATCTTTAAGTACTGAAGACAACGAGAAAGAGACTACCACAAATATCAGGATAGGCATTAATCATACGAACAACAATACCGAAATATTAAATAATGGTGATGCAAACGATTGTCGATTCGTTGAATTTGATAGCGGTGATGGAATTAAAAAAACAACTGATATGTTATCTAATTTGTCCTTGAAAAAAGCAATAGTCTCTTCGAGGGGTGATATTGCTACCGATGACATTTCCTCACCGGAAACTTATCGGTGTTATTTTTCAACGTCAAGCACAGCTTCATCCGTTGGCGCATGTTCTGCTCGTCATTCCGAATCTGTTGTTAATGTAAAACCAGTTTCTCATCGGGTCGAAAGACGATGTAAAATTCTAAATGATGAAATTATTAAAAGAGATCAACGAAGACCATTTTCGTCCAACGGCATGGTCGTCGGCAAGGAAATGGATCAACCAGAAGCACAAGTTCAGAGGTCTGTTACGTTTTTCTAAACTTAATCAATTCGAAACGTTCATACTCATTCGACTTTATTTTTCTACTTTAAGATATATTTTAAACGGTCATCGAGTCGTACATATTTCAACAACATCAATCTCAAGCTCGAATATTTCTCAAATGGATGACGAATCTTTAATGGCCAGAAAGAGTGCTCACGAGGAATGGTTGCGCAAAAAACAGATCTATCTTCAACGAAAGAAAGAAAAAGAAGATATGATGAAAACTAAAGAACGGGAGGAAGAAGAGAGATTAGAACGGGAAAGGGAAGAAAAGGAAAGGAGGGAAAGGGAGAATTTTGTCAAATGGACTGAAAGGAAAAAGAAAGAAGAAGCGGATAAAAAAGCAGCCCTTGAAAACGAAATGAAAATGGAAAAACAATTAAAGGAATTAGAGGAAAAGACGGTCATTGCTAAGGCTTTATGTCTGCGACAGTGGGCTCGTAAAAAAGAAGAGGAACAGAAAGGTACACATTACTTATATTACTTAATATTAATCCCAATTAAGTAATTGGAAAGGAACAGAGTATAAGTAACATTTTCTTAAATTTGAGATTAGTGCATAACTACAAAATTAACATTGTCTTATCTCAAATTTAAAGAAAATGTTACTTTCTTTTTATTTTTTAAAAGTGCACTTTCCTTTTTAGCCACACGATTTCATTTCTTTTCACTTTTCTTACCATACGATACTCTTTAGCAATAAAATGTATATCAGTTTATACAACTTTAATAATCCCAAAATATGTTTCTGCATATAAGAATTTGTATATATTGTATTATAAGAGAATATTCATCATATTAAATTGACAATAATGGTACTAATACTCTTATGACTGACTGTACATATATATTGTATCTTTGTACAATAGCACAAGAAAAAGCATTGCAGTTGAAAGAACAACAAGAGGAGGAAGAACGGAAAAGGAGACAAGAGGAGAGTGTTAAAGCTTATGAAGATTGGCGGGAAAAATCGAGAAACCGACCTAAACCCGCAACGCAGGGATTATTTCGTTAGTAAAATATTCCATCACTGTTTTACTGTATTTCTAAAATAATATTAGAGTAAACTACAAATTCGTGCGTTTATTGTGTTGAAACTTTTCTTTGAAACTGGATAATGGATTGTTTTTTATAAATATATTTTGAAAATATTAATTTAAAAACGCACGAACTTTTGGTTTACTCTAATAATAATAATAATAATAATATAGCTTATCTCGTTGTATTATATTCATTTTGTATATAGCACATCAAGCAGCAAAGCCAGGATTTATAAACCCAACTCCATGGCAAAAGCTAATCGAAGACGATTCGAACGACGACCAAGAGGACGGTAAAAAGACCAAAATAAAAAGAAGACAAAATAAAAGAAAAAATAAATAATTAAAAGAGAACATTAACATAATCTCGTTGAGAGATTTAAGGACCCATTGATTTCGACCTCGGTTATCATTTGTAAGATTTACAGTTTTAGATGCGGTCGTACTGTTTTGTTTTTATAAGTATTGTATTTAAAACGTGTATGTCAGAGAAAGAGTCTTGAGGAATGGCTATATTTGACATTAACATAATATATCAGCTTAATAATTTTATTAATATTATTTAATATGTTAAATCGGATTCTGATCGATTGACGATTATTCATCTACTGTCCGAGTTATATATATATATATATTTGTTTTATTTAATTAATTATAAATTATAATTCATTACAAAATATACACGACAAAAGAAATATATTTATAGTTAAATCAAATATAGGATGAAAATATAATCGAAGGAATACATTGGTAGACTAGAGGTACGTGCCCTCATAAACTTAACATCATTCATTTAAATTATTTCAATTAATAATACATTTGTTTTTAGCGGCGCGATCATGATAGTATTATTGTGCGACAATGCGCAGGATATAAATACTACATGTTCCTAATAAACTTGACACGATAGGGAGTACATTTGTTAAGAGTATCATCTGTGAATAAAAATACAGTGCTTATATTAGTATCTTCTATGATTTTTCCATTTACTTGCCCATCGCTTCTTCTTCTTCCTGAAGTCTCTCGATGTCCGATTTGTTCATGAAATAATAAGAAGGTTGTCGTGATTTCTAAATAAAAAAAAGATTATTACTCAACTGTATTATTTCCTGAAATTAAAATATACAAAGAACTCTGTACAAAACCGTACCAAATCTTTGACGATTCGTTTAGCACCTGCTTTTATTAGAATACTGCTTAAAATTTCAACCGATGGTACTCCCATTGCATAATGAAGAGCAGTTCTTTCCAACTAAAAATCAAATCAAATGTTTTAGATTGACGATTAATAGTTTACCGATAATTGCAATGAGAATCAAAAGTAAACGTGCATACGATATTTTCAACAAAAAAAATAAATAAATGTTTTATTTGATATTTACTTTATTTACAAAAAATAAAGCAATTTATTCAATTAAACGTCGAGTGAGACTCTTAAGTCTCAAGGAACTCTTGAGATAAAACCGAGTCACACTCGACATAGGGGTGCAAAGTGTTAATGTTATATATATATATATATATATATATATATATTTTTTTTTTTATTCTATATGCAAACATTGAAAAGAAAAATGTATTTTATCGTTTGTTCCCTCACTGTATAGTCGAACGTACGAAAGAATATTTTCCACTCACATTGTCACCGATTCGTAACGTTTCCGGATACGTTTTAGCTATCATTCGAACGATTTCTTCGTTTTCTCGTAAGACTGCGATGTGAAGCGCACACCGACCGGTTATGTTTTTTCCAACAGCTAATAACTTCCCACCGCCGTTATTTTTATTTAAAAGTTCCTTAACTTTGGCAACATCTGCTAAACGTATGGCACGGTGTACTTCCTCACGTTGATCCTAACGCACGCAAAATTAAATACACATATGTATAGTGTTATAAATGTCTGTATACCTATGTATTTGTTTTTCAAAAGTTCTTCAATTTTTCCGGTTATTCCTTTACCACGTAGTTAGGAATCGACTGTAAAAATTGTACGGTCGCCTCGTGATTCCTCTCGTTTGCAATTTCAACGATATTCATTTCACCGTCTTGCGCGTCGAGAATGTGATCGTAACCTTCCAGCAATAGTTCTACTAATTTTTCGGTTTCTCCTATGAAAAACAAACAAAATTGTAAATTTTTAAAGCGTCCTATATACTCTCAATATTATTCGACAATAAAATTGCACAATATTGCAGTGTAAATATTGCATTATATTTCTATAAAGTCTAGGAATGATGCAATATATGTTCAGAAATTATGCATTAAATATTACAGGCTCTTCTTGATTCATCTAATATATTTTAAAACGTAAACTGACTGCCACACGTAAATAATATTGAGCGTGTATGAGCAGTTTATGATCCACGAAAAATAATGTGCCATATTTACAATTAAATTCTAGGTTACTGTGGACACCTATAGGCACTTATTTCATTCAATTTTTAATAGCAATTCGTTTCAGAATACAAAGAAATAAATAATATTGTTAAAATGTGAAATTCAGTCTCTTGATTATTGAAATATGTATTCACAAAAATGCATCCCTATCAAAAAATTCGTATGGCGTCTCAAAAGTCTGCCGTAGTCAAAGGATTAAATACAAAGTACATACGATAATCAAACGTAAACTGAATGATTGAACAAAAATAATGTACCGTTGATGCCACACGGCAATCATATTACGCAATATTATTATCGATAATAAATATTAACCCTTTTGATACGAGTGCCGGATATATCCGACATCTATCTGATGGCCTGTGTATACAGGCGCCGGATATAACCGACATCCATCTGATGACTTGCATATAAGAGTGTCGAGAATATTGTTTCAATTATTTTTTATATATTATGTGTATATATTGTTAAATTATTATTTATTTTTTATATTATTTTATTAAGCACAGTTATTATTCAACATTTAAGAAAGTCTTCATATAAAAGAGCACTGAACACGTGCTATGTGTGCATTTTCGAAGTGTCACAGAAGACAGAACATTCGTAACGAAAGGGTTAATCGTGTATGAGCCGCTTAAAAAAACGCGTTCATTATTTATTAAATATCTCGATCAGGAATGGCGAACCTTATGATCCGCGGTCCAGATATTGACTCATACAGATCACTGAACTGACCCACCAGCCGATTTTGCTAAATTTTAATTTTCAAACGGAATAAGATTTTCCATTTCCTCTTTCTTTTATTTTGAATTTAAAAATTGTTCTCCTTAATGAATTTTGTAAAATAGAAATAAGCTTGCAAATGAATTAGCTGCAAAATACGTAAAACTAACGACTAAATAATTTTATAACGAACTACTCAGGATTTTTATTTGCTTCTCAAAGTTGTTCTCAAAATTGATCCTCCGCCCTCTCCCCTCCCAAAGTCAACTCGTTCAATTACTGACCCATAAATTAGCGCTGCAAACTATAATAAGTCGAATTTGACTCACTCATTCTAAAAGATTCGCCATCCCTGATCTAGGTGATCAAACACCAATGTTAAAAATCGTACCCCTTGCAGCTAAATAAACGACCCAACGATCAATTTCTTCGACATTCTCACGGATATTAGCCTGTTCTGCAACGTCCCTAGCTGTTCGATAAACTTCATCTCTAAATCCAACGTTGACCTGTGTCTCTTGCAAAAGATGATACAAACCATCTTTCGAATAAGAACGTACCGCTGCAAAATGTATCATACTTTGTCCGTGCTCGTCCTACAAATGAAATAATATAAGACATTATAAGGGTAACCTTAAACATTTTTGTTTTTTGTTTGATTATTGAAAAACGTACTCTGTTTGGATTGCTAAAAGTTGATTCTGGTACATCGGAATCTGGACTTTGAGGATAACCTGCATCCTCGTCTCCTCCATTTTCATTGTCAGGATTCTCGAGAGTTTCATTATCACGTTCGGGTATTATTAGAACGTTGGATTCCTATAACGTTTGTAATTATATACATATGTTACTGTCAAACTCTTTAATTCAATTAATTTATTAACTAAATAGATATATTATATGAAATAAATAGGTGTTTTAGAGAAAGGATATAAACAGAATTTTTTATTATAGAATTTAATTATAATAATTGTCTCACATGAAATAATCAGATAATATATAAAATAATGGTGGGTGTCTAGTTATTGTGTTATGACTCATTATGAATCATTGTTTCAGCTTTACTAGCGAAAAATTATTTATTTAAAGACTTTTAGCGCGTTCATGACATTTCAAATTTCACGGTAATCCATTTTTTAAATGAAGGTACCTTTTCAAATTTTTAATTCATTTTTTAATTACTTGGATCTTCTTACTTAGGTGCTTCAACAATCAATGTTTTTTTTTCTTTTTTTTTTGTTTGGAAACTTTAACAAACTTAACTTTTTTCACAAGCTTCTTATATTTCACTGATGACATATGCACAGTATTAATACTGACCAATAAAATTTGTAATTTTTCAGTTAACGTTTCCTAAATCAAATCTATTTCTACGAACTATAACTTTAATACGTTTCAAAGTTATACGTTTAAAGTCAATAGAATAATTCGATTAACCGAACATTTTGTTTTCAAATTACAGGAAGAATTATTAAAAACTGATAACTATGAGAATTGTTGTAGAAATAAAAGCTTACTTTGAAGATGGATTAAACTTCAATTTGATACTTTAACTATTTGAAGTATGTATTTCTGCTTTGTTTATCAATTTAACTGATTGATATAGTTATTTTATGTAAAAGCTAATTACCTCATGAATTAATGTTAATAAATATACAGTTAGTCACTGGAGTATTCGTACTCGTCTCTACTATAAATGTTTAATCATTTATATTAGTTTGTATAATGCAAAGCTTAACAATTATTCTACAGAGAAACATATTATATTTTAAGATTATTAAACTATCAAATTGTTTGTGCAAAGAAACATGTTATTCTTAGAGAAATATAATTTAACTTAAATGATAACAAAAATTGGTCTCACAAGAGTATTTCCAATTAGGTAAGATAAAATAAAAATACAATTATTATATAATTGATCCTTCTTTACACTTTAAAATGTTTCTAAGACAATTGGAGGCATATTTTTTGAAATTAATTTTCTTATCAGTTATGTCCAATTGTACTTCTTTTACAATGCAATTAAATTGATATAAATTTACAAGTTTAATAAATCTAAAATATGTTTTGGTGTATAAAAATTTGGAAATATTATATTACAAGAAAATATTAATTGTTTTAAATTGACAGTAGAATTAAGGATACTCCTATGACTCACTGTATATAAATTAAATGATACTTAATAACAAAAGATTAAATTATTTAAATAGATAAATAAATACAAACCCGCTGATTGTCACTTTTATTATTGCTGGCAAAATTATATAGATAAGTAGCCAAATAGGTGACTGGATCGTTTGGACGTGCGTTGGCCACTTCTGTTAGACCCTTGATCAATGGATCACCCAAAGCTGTCAAAATATATTCAAAGTTAAAAGCAATTCTTAAACAAGATAAACATTTTCTTATGTCACAAATATTATACTTACATGATGCTAAATAACGACCTTCCTCTGTGCGAAATATAGGAATATCGAGTTGATTATCGTCTGAAAAATATATTCTTTTATTACTCACTTAATAGCGCATATTAGATAACATATAATAAATATAATTAACACTTTCACGACGGGTTAACCGTAGATTTACCTCATTTCAAAGTCTTTAGCAAAATACGGGAAACAATCCTAAGTTATTTAAAAATGTTTAACAGAATATAATCAACGTAGTTCTACGTCATTTCAAAATTGGCGCCTTTTAATTAATTCATTTATTGTATACACGGTGTTTGGGATTTTTTCGTACAAATATTGCGAGCGTATGTATATTACGTTCAAAAATGAGACAATAATTTTATATAAATATAAGTCATTAAAATTTTTATTCAACAGTTATAAAAAAAAAAAACAAATTGTAAAATTGTTTAAATGTGCTGTTCAAAATGTTTCCCGTTTACGCGAATACAAGTTTGATACCGTTGTAGTATGCTGTTTATGACATGGCGAATTTCTTCCAGATTTTTATTAATTTCTAAAATTGCATTCATAATTCGTTCTATCCTAACATCAAGTTTAACTATCTTAGTTGTATAAACTTCTTGTTTTAATTTCCCGTACAAATAAAAATCTAGTGGGATTAGGTTAGGTGATTTAAGTGGTCAAACTATTGTTCAGATAAAAACACATCTTTGAGCAGCATATTTACAAGATAGTTTTACAATTTATATCATAAATTTTGAGTAAAGTTTTAAATGACTTATGTTCATAAAACACTTTTGTTTTATTTTTGTTCGTAGAATACGGTGACTATGTTTGTAAATAAAAAACCCCAGACACCCTGTATAAAATATAAACAAAAATGAATTTTTTAAATCATTTGCATGCGATATAAATGAAATTAATATAATCAGTAATGACTCAAATCTAATTAATGTATCCAATCGTATGCTCAAAAATAATTTATCGCAAAGATTGTTAGAACGCATCAAGTTGCACCATTTACAAACAATACAAATTTCAGAAATATTAAAAGTTATTGAAAATTATATGTATTTGTAAATTCAACATATTCACTTTATTATTCAACAAAATATTTCGTCAATACGCATTTGTAATGTCCTTTGCACTCCTATGTCGAGTGTGACTCGACATCAGATTTTATCAAAGGAACTTCTTTGTCGAGTCCCGTTCGACGTTTTTACTTTCATCAAACTGATTAAATTGCCTTATTTTTGTAGCTAAAGTAAAACATTTAAAAGCGTTCAAACCTGTTGGTAATAAAATTGAAAAATAATTCTGACAAGGAGACCTTACGGTTGTGCCCTTACAGATTTTAACGAGCTTTGATATATTAGTAGTACAGTAAAACCTGTTTTTGTGCGGTCCTTTTTTATGCGATATTGTTTTTGTGCGACTGATTTTGTGCGATTTTATTTTTGTACGATTTTTTTTGTGCGATTTATTTTTATGCGGTATATGAATCTTAGCGGCGTTAGCACTAATTTAATGTTTCCTATCAATGTACATATACATGTTGTGGACGAACTCTGATTACGATAATTTAAGCCTGACCAAAGTTTGGAAAAAATTCTCAATTTTAGACTGCATAAACCATATTATTGCAGCAATTGGACAAATCAAACAACACACATTAAATTCGTGCTGGAAAGTGATTTGGCCTGAATGTGTAATTAATCGAAACGTTACCGAAAACGCGTCAACGTTATTATCTGAAATTAGTGCGCTCGCACATAACATCGGCGGAGAAGGCTTTGATTCTTTCAGCGATAATGACCTGAA